ATAGATCAATCAAACAGATCAAATATCTTCTTAACCGTGTTTCGTAACGTCAACTTAGCAGCTGCAACCCGTAGTAACCGTATTCTTGGAAGCGGACGGAATTATGGGTTGGCAAAGAATGCTCCAGTTACTGTATTCTATGGGAACACAAACGGAGTTATGGTTTGGGCATGGATGCTCTAGTCACCGTATCCTCCTGGAACAAATTATGGTTTGGACTGGATGCTCTTGTCACCGTATTCTCTTGAAACGAATGGAATTATTGGTTTGCGCATGGGTGCTCCAGCCACTGTATTCTCGTGGAACACAAACCAAATCATGGTTTGGGCAGAATGCTCTGGTCACATTCTTAAACGGAATTATGGTTTGAGCATGTGCTTACCGTGTTCTCACGGAACACAAACCAAATTGGGTCGGAGCATGGATGTTTTAGTCACCGTATCTTCTTGGACACAAACGGAATTTTGGTTTAAGTAGGGATGCTCTATAATCAAGGTATTCTCTTGAATGATATGGTTTGGGCATGGATGCAGCTCTAGTTGAATCAAAATTTTCATACCATTTGTCTTTTTTATGTGGACGCTACTCTTTAATTGTCGCCAGTAAGACAGAAAGTATGAAAACAGCACAAAACACTAATTAAGACAAGAGCACGTGGAATGCCAATTGTAAAACGAGAATTGCACTTTCGTCTCTGACGAACTTACTTAATGGATCTTCGGCAATCATCTGATGTGAAAAGTTATCAGCTATGTTATACCTCCCTGGTGGCGCAACAAGCAAACCAATTCACAGCCAATTTTTCAAAGACAACTGTCATGAAATTTTATTATCAAATTCTATCATACCTTCACCGTAAAGCATGTCTGACACTTACGCAACCTGATGTTATGATGACCTTCCCTCTACATGAAACTGTCGAGTAACGGTCCAAGTGGAGGAACTGCGGGAAACATACCTACAATAAATCGAAAAGGTTTCCCTTTCGTATACGAAGGTAAGATGCAATTGAAATCTTCATACAAAGGTAAGATGCAATAGCTTGGGTTTTGCCTTGAAACCAAGCTTTCGAAGCCTTTCTTCGAGGGTAATTGGAGGGCAAAGGTAATCGGAAGGTGTGGACCTCGAAGACCCTCTTGAACGAAGGGGGCAGGCCACTGCTGAATGAGCGAATGCAAGCTAGAAAGAGTTGTCAATCTGGTAGAGTGGCAGAAGAAGAATCTTGGTAGACGTCACCTTCCACAAAGCAAGGACGGGTTCCCACTATTGGTTCTCTTATAAGTGAAGGAATCTCCAGCAGAACGATCCAAGTTGAATTTCTTCAACCTCTCGCATGCGCCCAAAAATTTTAAAACAAGTTTAAACCTCCAAACCAACACTTAAACTGGTACAAACGGACTTGGCAATGCATTAGATGCAGAGTTCAAGGCGCGTTTGCCAAGATCCCTTCGGAAGCCAGCAAAAACCCATCTAGTTTTTGAGTTCCACCGTAACGAATCTGCTCTTTCAAAAGCGTTGCTGTTCCATACTTGGATCAGAATTTCCTGAGAAATCAGACCTGGAAGGCTTGTGTTTCACACAAACATGTCCAAATTTCAAATGGTCAAAGTTCATTAAAAGTACGATCATACAGCGGACTGGCAAGGTTTCTGTACGCTTTAGAGTCAAGTAGAAAGTGCTGCCAACGGCACAAAACATTCGGCTGAATCTTGAAATGACCAATTCCAAAATAGTGCTTGCTTTATCAGCTGAAATGTAAAAACTGGAACAAAAGAGCTACAATGCTCCGCTAGAGCGAAGAGACACTTGCACAAGAAGATGTTTTGATTCTGCTCGGCACAGATGTGTTCTGTACACTTGCATAAACCATTCTTTGGATGACTCTGCAGAAAGCCAGCACAACAGAATCTTGGTTAGCGTCAAGACTGTAGGAAGTATTCTCAAGAAGAGACTTTTCTGGAAGCCTTTAAAGTTATTCAGCGAAGGTCTTGCTCAGACAGAAGTTTAGAGGACACTTCCTCACAACTCTTTTTCGAGCCGCGTCTTCCTGGTTTCCAGGCGCTCCATGTCGTCATTGACGCGCGTAAGCTGGGTCTCCAATCGTGACTTCTTCTCTTTCTGGTTGATGTCTGCTTTGGACCTGCGTTCGGACATCTTGACCACTGGCTCGATCCAAATGTTCTTCTTCTCAAAACTCAAGCCAGCAAGGCTTCCGAGCCAGAAGTCCTGTGTCTGAGTTTCGATCATGGGTCAGAAGCGATATTCTCTCTACTGCCCAACTGTCTGTGTTACGTTCTTCGAATACCTGGAGAAGATAGTGCTTTATTGTTACAAGAAAAGCAACAACTAGAAGGCTTATCGGCTC